GTTTACAGGCTGTCAGCCGCTGTTTTTTTCCCTTTTACATTCTTCCGAAAAGAAAACCTCATTTCTGCTGTTCAATACTGAACAAATTTAAACTTTTTAAAATTATTCAAAATGCAAAACGCTTAACCGTGTCTCTAATAAAACCGCTGTAACTTCAGAGGTAATGTTCATATGTTGATTAATGGTTTTCTTTCGTTTTTGATGTACTGCAGAATATTTTTATAAAATCCCAGGCCAGGAAAATCACCTTCATGTTTTTCTGTGTTTTATCTTCAGCTACTTTGACACAAAGGCATCTGCTGTGACTGCTCACACCTTTGATAAAGTCTTGCGTGTGTCAGCTTCCTTTTTATTGATACAAAAATATGTAAATGTACTGATCTGAATTATAATATTTCTGACTGTCAAAATTTCCCAGATTAACGAATGAATAATTAAATCGAATTAAATCGAATCGTGGATCGAATCGATTCGGGACCTTGTGAATCGGAATTGAATCGATTCTAGAAATCAGTGACGATACCCAGCCCTACATGGGACTCACTGCTGGAGCCTCTAGTGGACATTAGAGGAACTGCAGCTTTGGTGCTTGAGCTTCATCTTTCAGTTCCTGCTCGCTGTAAACATGCCCTCATTTTTCCAAGCCAGGACAGGTGAAGCTAACAGTTTCTCCTCTGTCTTTTCCTCCTCTTCAGAGCTCTAAAGTGGAGAAAAAAGACCCTGACATGATTAAATGGAGTCTGAAGCGAGACAGCAGCTTCAGTTTGAACTCTCTGGGTTCTGCAAACTTTTCTTGTTCCTTATTTTTAAGAGACCAAACATAAAACTTCATGTTGATGTGGTGAAAGCACTGAAAGCGTGTGAATTTCATGTTTTATATTGTAATCTTTAGTCATGCTGAGGCTGTCTGTGGGGCGATCGTACTTTTATTCTCCTTTTTCTGAGTGAGAGGAGCATCAACATGCTGCCAACAGGTGGAGGTTGTAAACAAGGATCAGTCAGGAGGAAGGAACTCAAACTGTTTGACATGATTTTAATAGTTGATTAAAGGTTAATTTAATAAACTTAATAAAGAGAGAATGATTGTCCTCCAATGCAGAGGTCAAACTTTTACCAAAATTTCATCTGTCTGTCTGTGAGCTCGAACTCCTCCCAAACCCATCAATAGAGAGGCAGAGGCAGACTCTCGCTTCGGCCACTGAGACACAGGAGGATGGTTTTGATCCGCCCAATGAGACGAATTTACAGCCTTCTGATGAGTGAAATGTTTTTGAAATCGACCAAGACAGCTTTGCAGACTCTCCAGAAATACACAAGTACTTACCAGCTGCCCTGCAACTCAGTGTTTCTGGTGCCCTCACCACATTCAGGTGTTTTCCCACTTAAAACATCACTCTTTCAGATATTTTTGATGAGCCCAAAAGCCATTCATTCCCCCCCCAAAACTCAACGTAGCTCGCTAAACCACTAATCTCACTTCATAGGTCACCCCTCAGGTGTCACTTTACCTGTGATAGTAACTCCCAGCATGTGTAGGTTTGATCTCTGCTCCATGTATGAAACACACATAAAGAAATCCACAGCGTGAGTTCAATGATGCTTTTATTGTGAAACTAAAGAATAGAAAGAAATGAACCCGAGTAAGTTTACAGTCAGTTATCTGTGTCTGGATCTGGATTCAGATTCAGATGAAAAATAAGGAAACATTTCAGACACACATTTTATATCAAACTAAATCAGCTGTTTACATTTTTATCATGATAGTCAGATTAAGTTTAACATCTAGTTTAAAACACTGCATGATTATAAAGGAAAAATGTTGATTGCTCACTAGAAAGACCATAAAAGCCATGTGCAGCATGTGAATCTTATATTTCAATGCATGTATAATGAGTAATGCGATAATTATTTACTGGCTGTGATGAGACATGTTTACGACGCTCCTGCGTATCCGATCCGGACTAGAGTTTCTCCTATGTAGACACGTTCTGTGCAATGAGTCAATCCAGTTCACAGTTATTCAAAGCACGTTGACTTTGACATTGTTAGGGGGTTTTGCTAGAGATTACGAATGTAGCAGTGACTTACACCGTCATTGGGTTGGATCTTGACGGGATAGCCACTAAGCACTAGACCTAATGCGACCTCTAATGGGCATAGTCTTTGCTGATAGTAGGATCTTTCTGCCGTCATATGTGGGACTCATGCAGAGCATTACTGATAGTGTACAGCTTATATCAATGTGAAACATGTATTAATGAATTTTTTCTTCTTTATTCAGAACCACTCTGTCACCCCACATCGAAGATGCCTACTGTACTGTTGAGTGCACCCATAAAATATCGGACACACCTGCCACTTGACCGGAGTAAGTCCTGGAGCTATCTCCATCCAGTAACTCTCTAAATAGTCGGACCAAGAGATAAAGAGCCGACTCAAAGAAAGGACAAAGAGAAGAGAATCACTGAGACATTTAACTGGATTTATTTGAATCAAAGATAACAAGAAGAAGTAAATTATCTGAGTCAGTAGAAACAAATAAACACAAAACTAGAACCCAACCAGAAAGAGAGAGAGAGCAAGAAACTGATTCCAGCAGGTGATTTACTTCCTGTTTTACTTCTAAAAATGGCTAAGCTCCGCCCACACAGGACAGCAAACAGGAAGTGTTGGAGCTGTCACACCTCTCACATGGTGAAGATCAGATGACCACTGAAGTGGTTATGATGGTTTTGATTGTCATGTATCCTTGAATTAACCCAGAGACGTACAAACACATGATCTCCAACCTCTAGAAGCAGTGAGGCTCCATTAGAGGCGCTCACAGAACCAGATGTTGGACTTTCATATGCTATAAATATGTGTTCTTCATTCCTGAATAACACAGCACCAGCCTCAATGTTTCCATATCCATATACTTTCCAGTCAAAGTGGTAGGCTCCTCTCACTGGTGCAGTGAAAATACCTGTGGGACATTTGTTTTTGTCATGTTAAATCATCTGTTAGAACATCTGGAACATCAGCCTGACATCAACATAGCTGAGAAGTGACATTCAGTGTTATTACCTGTGTGTTTGTTGTAGGCATTTCCAATGTTTGTGACAACATGTTTGAAGATCAGAGTAGTCTGAATGTTAAAGGGTCCAGTTTCTGCACTTACCTGTTCCAGCACAGAGGCTGAGAACGCCACCCGTGTGACTGAGAAGAGAGAAATGTCATTATTTTTAACTTTCTGTTCAAAAGTGACCATGACAAAAACTTTAGTGCGTGAATGGTGGATGACTGGATATGTAAAGCGCTTTGGGGTCCTTAGGGACTAGTAAAGCGCTATATAAAATACAGGCCATTTACCATACAAAAACTTTAATCTACAATGAAATAAATTTTTGACAGCTGAAAGCGTTTCATTGTCACAGAAGAAATCAAACTCTTTATGTTAGAATAAAATTGTTAAATGTTGCCAGGCTGTATGATCAAAGACATTCTTCTGTTTTTAACACTCTCCCCAGCCTGTTGAATGGGTAATTAGCTATAGTGTTTAACTACAGGCACATCCTATGTGAAGGTTCTGTTTCTGTCCTTATTTAGTGAGGATGTTTACTTCCTGCCATTTATGACCTCACCTGTGTTTGTGTGTGGTGAGACCATTACAGGAATTAAGCCATATACTGGGTGAGGGAAGATGACCCTTTTGTGATCAGCAGGAAGTCACACAGAAACACCCACATTCACACATACTCACTCACGTGCACATACATACACATCCACTCAATGCCACTGTAAACCCACCATAGGGGGGGGTTACAGTGGGTTCTTGTGTAAACTGTGTGTCACAGAATAAAAGGCTGCAGGGGAAGCTGGGAGATCCTGTCGTCCGGCTCCCCTTGCTAGCACGTGAAAATCGATCGATCGCTGCTCTGTCTTGCATTCTTCACGGGAATAAGTCTGAACCAGTAGGCCTGCTGAAGTGCAGACCCAACACTTTATAATCCACATACTGTGTCACCAGGTGGTCAGTTAGTTTGAACTTTTACCCTCAGATGTCATGTGGAAGAAATAAAAACATTGTTGGTACTAAAGTTGCCCCTGTGAATGAACTAAAGACATTCAAACACAGTAGCGCCACCTTGTGGACAGATTTATAGCACTAACATATGTTAAGCCACCAGAGTTGCTGACTTCTGTCTGCAGGTGGCGCTACAGCACAAAAGCAGCTTCAATTGTTCACAGAAATGAGAGTTTGAGCAGTGTTGTGTCTTCAAACACTTTGTCTTTAACTGTATCAGAGCAGGTTTTAGTTTCAGTGTCTAACATTAAGACATTCAAACATAAATAGTAATCTAGTAAATTTACAATTTAAGATCAAACATTATTAATAAAAATATGTCATATATTTCAAAGTATTATTGAAATGATGAGATTCCCACACAGTACCTTGTAGTTCCTGCTTTACTTTGTTGATCTCGGTCTCCAGCTTTGCTACTTGTTCTGATAAAAATGCAAAAATGCAAAAAATAAAGGAAATCTCACTGACAGCACAGTGATTCACAAGTTTTATCTATAAGTAAGAAAGTAACAGTGACTCTCATGCTGTTCATGCTATACTGAGCGATTGTCTCCTCCACGTCCCCTCATCCTCCACCTCACACACTGCACAGCTGTAGGACCACACCTCCTACAGGTGCTGTGTGCCCATAGACTGTATGTAAATGATGGATGTAACCACGCCACTGTCTGTTCACTTCCTTAAGGTGATAAACTGTATGGACTCGTACTCATGTAGCACCTTTTTACTCAGTTAAGCAACCAAAGGATGGCTGATGGCTGTAACTATGCAGCTGTAGCTCTGTTGGTTGATCTGGTGACCCGTGAGCCAAGTGGCTACAGGGGCGTGTGTTTGATTCCTGATTATGTAGCATAGTTCATACACACATAATTACCCAGCAGTTGAGTAGAGGTTGCTGGCTGCTGTCTTCAAATACAGATTCAAATGTTCACAGAAATTAGGCCCAGATTTGCTAAAACAGCCTGTGAGTGTAATGGTGAGACAGCACTAATAGGTTTGGTTAGTTTTAGCTGTGTTTTCTGAGCACTGGTGCAGTCAGTTCATTACCTCCACAAAGGAGGTTATATTGTTGGATGTGCTTGTGTGCATGTCATTCTTTGTGTCTGTAAACACGACAGCTCGAGAAGTTTAGATTCTGATCAAACTTTGTACTGGTGTAGAGTGGAGTCATTCACTTTAACTCAGTGTTATTTGTGCAGCGCCAAATCATTAAAAAAAGTTTCCTCAAGGTGTTTTTTTCTTGTAAATTAAAGTCACTACACTAAATGTTAAGTTTACATTAAAAGATGGTTTTAGATTTGGATATGTGTATAAGTAAAGATCATCCACTCTTAGCTGGAGGTCCTAGTTGACCGATGAATACGTTTAATGGTGATCTCCAAAATCTGAACATTGAGTCTGGCTGTCAGAGAGCTGTTTGGGAGTCTGTTTTAGAAAGGCTGAATGCAGACAGTGTGAAACAGTGCTCCACTGAAGAAATTTAAAAAAGGTGACATGATCTCAGACACACAAAGTTAATGAGACTGTTTGAGGTCCTGTGGATTAAAGACCCGTAACTGAGCAGTCGTTTGTACCTGAACAGGTAACTGTGGTCGAGGTTATTGATTCCCTGGACTGAATAAATTTGAACATGTGCCAAAAATATACACATTTTAACATTTCTATAGAGATGATCAGATTTGCACACAATACCTTCTGACTGCAGCTTCAGCTGGTCGATCTCAGTCTTCTGACTCTCCAGCTTTGCTTCTTGTTCTGAGAAAAACACAAAACAAAGAAAATCTCACTGACAGCACACAGTGATTCACATGTTTTCATCTCTAGTGCTGCTTTGTGATGATTATTTGACTCTGTTGAAGGTGACTGTGTTCATCCTTCCTCCCATGGATCATGACACTGACCACACCACCAATTAAATCCTGATCATCTGGAACACCAGCAAGACACTCTGGACTTTTATTCCAGAAAGTCTTTTATTCCAGAAAACATGAATTGACCCTGGGTGGTTCCCTATAACCTTGGTTATGAAGTTTGTGGATTTGCAGATTACTGAGTTTCTGAGCTTCCTGTTACAGAAAACATGCTCAGTTTCACATGGGGGGTTTAAAAACACAGGGCTTCATCAGTTGCTTCATCAGTTGATCCCAGGATGTTTATGAATCCTGGTGTAATTCTTTATTAAAGATGCTGCTTTACTTAAACAGCACCCTTCAGCAAACAGAGACTGTTAAAAGTCTGCTTGTTTACTGTACCTGTTTAGACTACGTTACCCATGATGCACCTCGGTATTGTACTTACTTGCATTCCTGTGTGTGTCTTTACCACGTGGGTATTGTAAGATAAGAGTGATGCTTGTTTAGCTTTATCTGTGTTATTTGCTAAGTAAGAAGCTAGTCCAGTTGCTATCGCTAAGATGCGGGTTTTGGGCTACTACAGGCAGCCTTGGTTTCAGCCCATATTTCCTTTAATATATGACTTCCTGTCATATATTAAAGGAAAGCTAGTTGTAGGTGGCTTTAAGTACTTGCTATGGTTATTATCTGAACTTGAAGAGTTAACAGCAGGCAAAAGACTGTGCAAATGACCTATAACACTGAAGGGTCAAGCAGCAGCATGTATGAATACCACTGATGGAACATGAGCTTTGAATTACAAGCTGGGAACTTAACCAGTGACATGATTGTTTGAAGGCACTGGATGTGATATTTGCCATGCTGGGAGTTAACCTAAAAGAAAAGACTGAAAAGATCCACAGAGAAGAAACAGAGAAGAAGAAACAGCTGAGTGGGGCCTGTGTTTGCTGGAGATTTGAAGGCCAAACAGGAAACTGTGAGAGGAGGGACATGGACCAGTGAGAGGTCAAGCCGGACGAGGTCGAGTGAGAGCGTACAGGATATAATTGGATTGAAAATGGAGGCTGAACTGGTGGAGGTTTAGAAATGTCCAGAGCATCATAACAGAACGGTTAAAAAAAAGAGAGAGAGAGATAATAACTACATGAATGAATAGAAAACACACACACACAAATTGTTACATGTGAAATTATTTTTGGAGAGAATCAGAAGTGAGATAGTTTGAATCCACAGCTCCAGTGCACAGACATTGATTAAACCTGGCTAATAACACACACATGCAATGAAAATCAGCTTGCTATCTTTTATTAGTGTTAAAATAGTGTGAATTTAACACACTTAAACCCTGAAGTTGAGGAATAACTCAGGGAAGTTCCATGAATAGAGTGATTTTTGTGAAAAGGAAAAAGTGATTAAAGCTTAAAGTAGTTTTTAGAATAGTGAATTAGAAGTGCTCTTGGACAGATTGATCAAAACAAGTGATTACTGTAGAAAGAAATAAAAATAATTCAATAATGTGGTGATGTTTAAATATGCATTTCTCTTGTCAGGGTAACTTCCTGAGATATGACTCAGTATGCAAAGTAGCTGAAATGAGTGGTGACGAAGAAGCTTGCTGTCTGGCTGTGTGTCTGAGGCTTCTTATCCGAAGTTTAGAAGTTAGTGATGATAGATTGTCATAACATATTTAGAAAGGGCTTAATGAGAATACCAATGGTGTGCAAAACTCTGTGGCTTTTAAGAAGATTTTCTGTGTATTTAGAAGGTGAAATGATGTCAGTTGACTTTAGAGTGCAAGGACGCTGAAGAACCTGAGGCAAAACTTTTCTGTGTTTAAGATTTTGAGGTTGTTGTTTTAGTGATGGGTTGATTCGGTCGGTTAGGTTCGGGTAGTTTTCTTATTTTAATAGAGGGAGTTTTGTTAATCATGGACATGGTTAGAACTGGTTAGAACCCTTTAAAATTGTAACAGTGCACTTAGAGAAAACCTGTCAGGTGATGATGTTTTGTGTTTTGATGAGCTACTAATCAGCTCTCTTTTTCTCATTTTTGTCCTAAGCAGGCCTGCAAGATTGAATTAACAGCGCTGAAAAATTTCTGGGAGAACAAATAGAAGGTGACCTTTTCCAGATTACAATGGGCTGAGGAGAAGGCTACCTGTGGGGACCTGATCAGGTTGTAAGTCCCTGTCTAAAAGGATCGCAGTCAATCAGTCCAAGAGCATAAAGAACTCTTTTCCTAAAAAACAAAAAAACAAAATAAAACAAATGAATGAGCTCATGTTGCTGAGGGTGGAGAATCTGATTATTTGCACGGGAGTCTCCACTATCAGCAATATCTGGTGTGAATGTGTGTGAGTGAATGTGTGTGACTGGACTGTGACTGGACTGACGATGTGGACTAAAGGTTTGACTGACTTGACACTGAGACAAAGACTGGACCAAGGTTAGGATGAATAAATGTGAACAAACAATTTACCATGCCGGCAAGAGAAAGGGGATGCTTTGCTTTGCTTTGCTTTGCTTTGCTTTGCTTTGCTTTTGGCCGGAGCAGGAGGAGGAGAGAGAATGGAGGGGAGACTGAAGGTTCACATAAGAGTGTGGAGCTGAAAACTTAATCTTTTGGCTGCTAATTTCGGGTTGCTGATGTTTGCTTTAAAGAAAAAATTCTGTTTTATTGACTGGGTTTAGATTATGGTATCATATTATATTGTTGGGGAAATGCCAAATGCTAAAGGGGAGAAAATGTTTGATATAACTCAGGTTACTATTAACAAAAGCAGGCCACTGTAGAAGTCAATTAAATTTTATAGAAGGAAAACAGGTAGAACCAAAGCAAAATTTAGGAATTATATAGGGGATTGGTAGACTTGTTACATTAAAATGTAAGTTATGGAATAACAAAGACTGGTACCAGTGACCGAGGTTTTTCCATTTAAAATAGTAAATTATTAAATGAATTAAAAGGAAAACAACTGGTAAGGGTCTGTGATACTAGCTGCCACTGGAGAGAAACAGGAGCAAAGTAAGGAAAGCAAACTCATTTTGGTCAGCACTGATAAATTCAAATTAAAAGTACCATGACACTCAGAGGATCAATGTGAAATTAAAAAATTTTTTCCATGAAGCACATGACTGATAACTGTTCTGATTTAAGTTTTCTTTCTTATAACACAGATTGGATCATAAGGGGGGGGAAACTGAGTATGAAATGTGAAATTCAGGTTAACACACAGGTTTTGTTTCTTCCAAGGATGCAGGCTCTTGATGGAGCCAGGAGTTCAAAAGATTTGACATGGTGATTAAATTGATTTTATTCCTTAACACAGGTTTGCAGGCCCAGAGCAGATATACCTGAGAGGAGGATCACTGAGGTGTTTTGAGAAATAATATGACTAACCTTTTTCTTTTAATTTCCTAAGCTCTGGTGAAGCATTTTCAGTTTGTGACACACAAGAGGTGTCAAAAGGGGGAATTTTAGGTTTAATTTGAGATAAGGGGCTTCATGACCATTTTATGACTTTTTGGGTGTTTGATAATTTGGGTATGGTAAAACTCACGCATAAGTAATTGCTCATATGCTTAAGCTTAACTGATTGGAAATCTCTGACTTGGGTTGGATGTATTTTAGTAGAATAAGCGTTTATAACCATTTTCTTATACATATTGCATGTTGTGCTCATTAAAAGAGTTGATGCTCAGTCTATTCAAGGTCTTAAGCTTTGTTTGGCGCGATGTCCCGACGATCTATTGTGTAAGTGACTTGGAGCAATAGAAGGTTAAACCGCACACACGCCTACAAACACAAATGATTGAAACATAGGCCTGGAATTCATTTAGCTTCTAACTGCATTTGAGCTGCCTAGTAACAAGTGACAGAAGAAGAGTCAAGAAATTGTAAGTCCCCAGGAATCATAAGGAAGGTGAAACAAATTGCCATGTATGGAAGAATGTGATAGAAAGAGGAACGTCGCTGTCTGTTTTTATGCTGATATGCTGATGGTGTGTATCTTACCCTGGGTGTGTTTAATAAAATTAAAAGTGTTGCTCACACACATAAAGAACATTAAGATTAAGTAAAG